CTACCTCTTCATCCTTTGCCCTTGACTACTCCCAACTCCCGGCAACTACTGATTTTAAAAAATCCAGTATCATCTCACCCAGAGCTCGAGGTCTCCCTGAACAAGCCCTAAAGTGAAAGGGTCATTCAGGGGCAGCCCTTGGGTGGTGGGAGTTTTGAATGAAAGCACCCTTGCATCTCATTACAAAGCTATTCTTGGAGTTACACTGGCCTTAAAATCAATTCTCTCTGCTAAGGCATCTTGGATGGTTCTATAGCAAATACTGCTATTGACAGTTTTAATGCAATTAGAGTTTTGTCGCTAAATCTTTGACAATTGGTGAGCAATGAGAAAAGGAAAGCAAACACTCTATGTCCTGGTCTTTTTAACTTATCAAAACATTTTGAAGGGTGAGAAAAGAAGCAAAAGAGTAGTTGTGTTGCAAAGTGGTGATTTCCATAAACATGCTGGATAAATGTAATATGGGTTGGAAACAATTCAAAACTTGATTCCCAGGCAACTGATGTGCATTTGTTTTCCCACTAGTAGCCAGCAATTAGAGGGCGGTATATACATTATTCATAATTTCAAGAAACAGAAAGTGCTATAGGTCAGCATCAGTCAAATGCAGATTATTTAGGCTCAAATGACAATAAATCACTTCAAAGCTAGAAATGACAGTTAGACAGCCTGGGCAGGGAAAGGCAGTTTACCATTAGCAAAGTTCCACAAATCCTATTTATGGCCCTTATTAAACCACCTTAGAATGGCTTGATGACCGGTTAATCCAGCTGGGAAGAGGGAAAGGGCAAAATATCCAAATGAGTCTTTTCTTTCCCACAGTAACTTTTTCCTGATTCCTCTTATATTTTATTCTTATACTACTTAAGTTAATCAACCTTTCTTTTAAAGCTGACATTCTCTTTGTCAAATTTCTCCTCAGTCAGAGTAAAAAAGGAATTGAGATGGTATGCAGAGAGTAAAGTATATTCATGGTGCTTCCTGGAATTATAGCTCCAGATGATACCATCTGCAAATGTCATTGGACAATGTGTAGTTTTATTTAGAGTGTAAAGTGCACTTAAATCAATCTCCAGGGAGGTGTGGGTTTGGTTATTGCGGCACTGTGATTTATTGGAAACAAGTCAACTTCTCTGCAGTTATTATGAAACCAGCAAACAAAAGAGAAAAGAAAGAGAAATGGATTAAAATAGAGCTCTCATTGCTTTAGTCAGAGTGTGAAATTACAAGACATCTGAAAGCACAAAGAGAAAAAAGAGTTTTCTTTTGTAGTGCCACACTTCTTGCAGTATCTCAGTAAATATTTAATGTAACTAGAAAGTAATCTGTTTCTTAGTAAGCTTAAAAACATGACACCTATTTTCTACCCATTCAGTAACACAATTAATGATTAGGTTTTGGTGTGCTAACTAAATTTGTGCCAACCATCTACTCTCCCCTTTGAAGGGGAAATCTGGCCGTGCATGGTGGCTCCCGCCTATAATCCCAGCAATCTGGGAGGCCAAGGCGGGCGGATCGCTCAAGGTCAGCAGTTCAAGACCAGCCTGAGCAACAGTGAGACCCCATCTCTACTAAAAATAGAAAGAAATTGGCTGGACAACTAAACATATATACAGAAAAAATTAGCCAGGCATGGTGGCACATGCCTGTAGTCCCAGATACTCGGGAGGCTGAGGCAGAAGGATTGCTTGAGCCCAGGACTTTGAGGTTGCTGTGAGCTAGGCTGATGCCACTGCACTCTAGCTCCAGCAATAGAGTGAGACTCTATCTCAGAAAAAAAAAAAAAAAAAGAGTTTATGTGTTGCTCTGAAGGACATCATTAGGTCAATTAGTGAAATTGGAACACTGTAGATTAGATAATATTGTATCTATGTTAAACTTGCTGAATTTGATAACAGTACTGAGGTGATGTAAGAGAATATCCTTGTTGTGGAAAAATAAATACTAAAGTTTTTTGGGGTAAAGGGACATATATGCAATTAACTTTTAAGTGTTTTCAAAATAAAAGGACTTTTATGGTAAAAGACAAAGAACGGTAAAGCAAATGTGTCAACTCTTGGCAGCTGACCCAATACCAGCAATTGCTCACCTCTGCATTTCTTGTATGTGAAAAAAATAATCCAAGTCAGTGTTACCTACTTTATACTTCGTAGTTGAAAGTGTTCCTTAGGGATAACTCAGCCAACTTCAATTCTCCTTCTACATGTACACAATATCATACTATAAAATTGATGCTCTGAAAGAAATACATTTAAGAGTTCTAATCCTTGATTTACTATTTGCCAATCTAACCAAGCCACTGAACTACAGGACTAAAATATAATTACCAGTAAGATGCAGACATCAAAATGAGATTTGTGACGAGTGCTTTGTAAAATGCAAAGCGCTATACAAGTGTTTTTTTAAACTGTGCTTTTTCTTTTATGTTAAGATGTTGACTAGAAGAATTAACATTTATAGAAACCCTATTTTCTGTCACTAAAAAAAAAGAAATAAAAAAGAAACCCTATTTTCTTTCACACAGGAGTTATTTTATGATAATTGCCTGTTTATAACTAAAGCCCTCTGAATCAGAATTTATACTGTACCTTTTTCTGTGCACCACATAGAAGGCAATAAACGATTATATTGTTTATAACTCGAAAGGTTAGTACCTATTTCTGGCTCCTTTTAGGAGACACAGTCATAACAAAAAAATATTGCATAATATGCCAGGCACTGTGCCAAGTGGTTTTTATACATTGTCCAATTCTCACAAAAAAAGTGAGTGTGATGCAATTATTAGCTCATCAGATGTAAAATGGGGAAAATAATAGCACTTATAGTACTGTTGTAAAGATTAAAATATACAGAAAGTACTTAGCACAGTGCCTGGCAAATATTATGTGCTAAACACAAGTTTACTATTTCCTGGTACCCTCATTTCACAGAGAAACACAGACAAGTATCTTGCCTAAGGTCCACAGCAAGCGGAAGAAACAGGACTTTCAATTCGGGTCTGAAAATTCCCAAGCCTCTGCCTTTTCTTTCTTTTTATCTTTTCTTTCTTCGTTTTTAAAAATTTGCTTCCTGTACAACAGGGGAAATGTTCAATCCCCACGTCAGTGGTTGAACTCGAAGCCAGAAGATCTCTAGTCTGATTTTGTCCTCCGGCCTGTCGCCAGCTCTGTCAACGCCTGGCCTAGCGAGCTGCCCAATATTACTTGCCGAATTACTGAAAGACCAAGTTTCTTCGCCCGGGTTAGCTACTGAGTGGCTTCGTGATCTCGGGCAAGGTCGTTCAGGTACCTGCGCAGGTGTCCCCTTCTGCAAACCCGAAGATGCTGTTCGGGTACCGTCTGGGAAATGGCCTAGTCTTACCCTGCCCAAAACAAGCTACCGACGACCATTGCCCTCCGAACCACAGAGACTTCAGGGTCCCAAACATTCCTACTCCGCCAATATCTGGCCTCCCACCTGGCCTCAAACCATCCCAGACGCCCCTGCGCCCCTCCCCGGAGGCGCAGGCGCACAGCGCACCTCCCCGCGCAGTCCACCTCCCACGATCCCACTCGGCCGAACCACCTCGGCTAGGGGCGGGGGCGGAGGCGGAGGCGGAACTGGTCACCCAGGGCTGGACGGAGCCTCCCAGCTGTCCTGGGTCCTCTTGGGTAAAGTTCGTTCCAAGAGAGATTCTCAGTTTCCCTGGTGAGGTAGGCCGCCTGTCCCAGTCAGGTGGGATTCTGCGCTCCGCACCCTCCTGGTTCCCCTCAGCGTAAAGCTGCAGATGGTCTAGTCCGGCGGGGACACCGGCCGCCCTCAGCGGCGGGGACGCCGGAGAGCGAAGGGCGGCGCGAGCTGACGGCGCAGACGCGCAGTATGGGGGCGGGCGCCCGTGGTCACCTTCATTGCGTCTGTTATGGTGAGTAGGGGGCGGGACGGGGCGTATGCCAGGTTGGGACTGACCTCCTTCCCAAGGGCCACCGCTGGGACAACCACCACCATCCCAGCCAGTTGTAAAAGCCGCTGAACCCAATTGTCCGGAAAAGGGGTAGGGTCCCAGGAGCTCCGTTTTAGGGTTTACATATAAAAATCCCACTTCCAGTATTTCACTGCCATTGTCTATGTACACGTCTTTTTCCTCTACTGGATGAATGGAAGGGCTCACCATTCATCTTGGTTTTCCCAGCACCTAGCAAATAGCTCCTTCCCAACGAGCTATGGAAATTAAAGTCTTTCTTCTTCCTTCTTTTTTACTTATGTATGTATGTATGTATGAATGAATGAATGAGACAGGGTATCGCTCTGTTGCCCGGGCTAGAGTGCAGTGGGTCATCATAGCTCACAGCAACCTCAAACTCCTGGGCTCAAGCGATCCTCCCACCTCGGCCTCCCAAAGTGCTGGGACTACAGGTGTGAACTGACCAGTGCCTGGCTACTTAAAGTCTTTTGGACCCTTGATTCTATTCAATCCAGTATCAGCTTGGGCATATACTTTGTAATATTCTCTTTCATGTGCTTAAGTCTTCTTATGAGAAGGCTCCTTGAGAAGGTGAAAACTTTGATACAGTAATTGAAGAAATAGTGGTGCTGACGAAATTTATAATCTGCTAGGGCAATTAAAGAAGAGTCCTTATCATTGTTCCCCAACCCTAACCATTTTGCTTGCGCCTTGTTCCGTGACTTAGTTAAGTTGCTTAACCTTCTGGACCTATCTTTTCTTGTAAAATGAGAAGATTGGATTAGATGATCTCTAAAAACTTTCCACCTGTAAAATTCTGTGGTTAGGAATAGAATCCAGATCATATCACAATATGTTAATGCTAAGCTTCATCAACTTCCATTTCTTCGCCAACATCATTGAAATACAGCTACAAGAATTTTGACAGCAGTATTAGAAAGTACTGCCCCTTATTGTACTTGTAGGTTCACACCCTGTCATCTTCCTTATTGCTGAAATTTAGAAATTAACTGATAACACAACTTCATTCAACCTTTATTTGTTGTTTTATAGATCTTTGCTAGGAAGAACTCTGGGTACAATAATGAACACAAGGTACATGATGATGCCTCAAATCTTAAGATCTCATCTGATAAATGCTTCAGTGATTCCTGATCGAATGAAAATGCTTCCATATCTCGGTGTCATTAGAAATAGAATGATGTCAACCCATAAATCCAAAAAGAACATCAGAGAATATTATAGGCTGCTGAGTCTGGATGAAGGATGCTCTGCAGACGATGTCAGGGAATCTTTTCGTAAGCTTGCCAAACAATACCATCCAGACAGTGGCTCTAATACCGCTGATTCTGCAACATTTATAAGGATCGAAGAAGCTTATAGAAAGGTGCTTTCCCATGTGATAGAACAAACAAATGCCAGACAGAATAAAGTTGAAGAAGTGGAAGAAGAAGAAGAAAAATTCAAATATAAAACACCTCAACACAGGCATTATTTAAGTTTTGAAGGTATTGGTTTTGGTACTCCAAGTCAACGAGAGAAGCAATATAGGCAATTTAGGGCAGACCGTGCAACGGAACAAGTGATGGAATATCAAAAACAGAAACTACACAGCCATTATTTCGCTGATAGTGTAATTGTTAAAGATGTAAGACAGAGCAAAGAACAAAAAATAACTCAAGCTATAGAACGTTTAGTGGAGGACCTCATTCAAGAATCAATGGCAAAAGGAGACTTTGACAATCTCAGCGGGAAAGGAAAACCTCTAAAAAAGTTTTCTGGCTGTTCCTACATTGATCCTATGACTCACAACCTGAACAGAATATTGATAGATAATGGATACCAGCCAGAATGGATCCTCATGCAAAAGGAAATAAAGGATACTATTGAGCAACTCAGAGAGGCAATTTTAGTGTCTAGGAAAAAACTTGGGAATCCAATGACACCAATGGAACAGAAGCAGTGGGACAAAGTTTGTGAGCAGTTTCAAGAAAACATCAGAAAACTAAACAAGCGGATTAATGATTTTAATTTAATTGTCCCCATTCTGACCAGGCAAAAAGTCCATTTTAATGCACAGAAAGAAATTATCAGAGCCCAGAAAATATATGAGACTCTTATAAAAACAAAAGAAGTCTCAGATAAAAAAACAAATAACACTGATAATGGAGGAGAGAAAACACCTGGGGTCAAGACAGGTTTTTTTAACTGGATACATCTGTGGAAATTTATTAAAATTTGATCATTTTGATGTTCACGATCACAGTACTGCCCCAAGTCATTTTCAGTTCCACTGTCATCTGACATAGATGCTGAGAATTTAAGAACTGTGTGCCTTTGTGGAATACTTTTCACAAAACTGATCACATCCAGTGATGTGTGAGTGAGATATCTATCAGGTTTGCTCTGAGGACATAGCAAGAAAAGAAGAGAACTTGCTTTTGAAGAAAACAGTTTAATCCATCTCAGAGTTAAATGTCAGTTATCAAGTGAAATGAGCTAGGACTGGGTCTCAGACTTGGGAATCATACAGGGTATTCCAAAAGTCTTAATGCAGCTTTAAGTTCTAATAACTTAAAAGTACTTACTGTTTGCCATTTTCAGACACAGGTACTTAACAATAACAAAACTTAAAAATGTTTTATTAGGGCCAGGCAGGGTGGCTCATTCCTGTAATCCCAGCACTTTGGGAGGCCAAGGCAGGAGGATCACTTGAGGCCAGGAGTTCAAAGTAGCCTGGGCAACAGAGTGAGACGCTTGTCTCTACCAAAAAAAAAAAAAAAAATTAGCTGGGCATGGTGATGCATGTCTATAGTCCTCGCTACTCCAGAGGCTGAGTGCAGAGGATTGTTTGAACCCAGGAATTCAAGGTTACAGTGAGCTATGATTGCACCCCTGCCCTCCAGCCTGAGTGACAGAGCAAGACCCTGTCTCTAAAAAATTATCAAAAAAAAAAAATTATCAAAAAATCTCAAAACTGAGGAAGTGTAATGAAATGTAACTAGGTAAACCTCCAAATGATGTATGTTTTTTACAAGTTGGCTACATTTAAACTCCTGAGCTTATTAAATCTCAAAACTGTTCTAAGATTTTTGGGGCACCCTCTATATAGGTGGAAATGTTAAGAACAGGAAATTAGCCTGCTGGAGTTACTGCACTCTTTTTATAAAGGCCTTCTCTGTGGATACTGAATGAAAAAAACACCAAACATTTAGACTGTACTTTTTCCTGTCTAACTTCTTGATTTGTTGGCTACAAAAATTAATCAGTCAAGCTAGTTGATGTAGCAATTCTAGAAATAGACTCCATTGTCCACTTTTAAAAAGTTTGAGTGTATTTTCTGATCTTTCAGAGGTGATAAAAATCCTTGGGCTCAATGGTGATATAAGATTTTACTTGTAGCTTCATCTCTAATCAGAGACTGAAATGTTAGGTTTCCATAAATCTACCTTAAGCTTCTTTATGTCTTCAATCAGACTCCTCAGATACTTTTCAGTGATGTGAAAATCTCTTTTGCCATGTAAACAGGAGTGGGAAAGTAAAAAAAAAAAAAAAGAAGAAGAAAATCCTAACTTAGGGACCCTTTAATAGACAAAGACAAGATGTCTGAATTTCGTGTATCTGCATCTTCGACAAATGATAAGAGATTGACATCCATGAGATTGTTGTGTCCCATCCACTTTTCAGAGAGTCTGACTTGGCCAGGCGTGTTGGCTCATGCCTGTAATCCTAGCACTGAGAGAGGCTATGGCAGGAGGATCGCTTGAGGTCAGGAGTTTGAGACCAGCCTCAGCAAGAGCAAGACCCTGTCTCTACTAAAAATAAAAAGAAATTAGCTGGGCAACTAAAATAGAAAAAATTAGCTGGGCTTGGTGGTGTGTACGCCTGTAGTCCCAGCTACTTGGGAGGTTGAGGCAGGAGGATTGCTTGAGCCTGGGAATTTGAGGTTGCTGTGAGCTAGGCTGACACCTTGGTACTGTAGCCTGGGCAACAGAGACTGTCTCAAAAAAAAAAAAAAGAAAAAACAAGAAAGTCTGACTTGTTTAAGTATGGATAATTGTTCTCACCATAGAATTAGGTAACTTGAAGGACGTGGAGTGTGGTCAAAAGAGCCGATGTGTTTCCTTTTTAACCCAGAGTGCTGTGTTATAGATGTGGTTCAGAAGCATGGCACTAGCCACTCTCAGCTTGGAAGAACAAATTATTTTGTAAAGTGTGTGATAGTTAAAACAAGTAAAACTACACCTTCAAAAGGAAATTTTGAGCCTTTCTGCTCCTACATGCTAGGGCTTTAAATGGCATAATATGTGATCATTTTATTGAATGAATTATCATTTGGCTTCTACAATGATAGTATTACTCTAAAAAAATTGCCAACTGTATGAAATATAGCTTAATAATAAGACATATAGTTCCAAAAACATTTTAGAAACCGTAATTCTGTGAATCTTGTTAAAAATGGGGATTAGATGTAAAAGGCCCAATTGCATTACAGCAACATAGATGAATGGACCATTTTCAATATTGATCAATGAGAAGGTAAGATTATCAGAAAACTATAAAATTCTTAATTTCAGCACAGTGCACTTTATGTTTGTAAGTGTTGTCTATACTAATAAACTCATTTTAATGATTATTCAGTGTTCCATTCTTGTAATAGTAATAATAATCATATTTTTGGCTGACCACCTAAATAAATGTGTTTTTTTAATTTTTTTTTTTTTTGGACACAGAGTCTCACTCTGTCGCCCAGGCTAGAGTGCAGTGGCATCATCATAGCTCACAGCAACCTCAAACTCCTACCCTCAAGTGATTCTCCTGCCTCAGCCTCCTGAGTAGCTGGCACTACAGGCGTGCACCACTATGACCAGCTAATTTTTCGTTTTTTTTCTTTTTGTAGAGACGGGGGTCTCTTGCCTCAGGATGGTCTTGAACTCCTGAGTTCAAGTGATCCTCCCGCCTCTGCCTCCCAGAGTGCTAGGATTACAGGCGTGAGCCACCTTGCCCAGCCGGTTTTTAAAATCTTTTTGACTGATAATACCAAAGCTAAATGTGACATAGATCCTTCTGTTCAAGAGGACAAATCCACTTATGTAAAAACAGATTCACTTATTTAACCAAATTCCAGGCCAGAAAGAGGATTTTGGCCAGTTTATCAGAATTTGTTGAATTAGAATTTGACACTTACTGTCTCTAATGATGGCAGTATTGACCTTCTAATGTTAGTGTTCACCTTCTGTCAGCTTTTCAAGTGTAGTGGTAGTTTATTGAGATTTCTGAACTCGCTATAGGCACATACCAAACTCTGCCCAGTTCCCAGGCTTTTCATGGCTCCTGTCTCTATACCCCATTCCTCAACTCCAGGACCAGGGCTCTGGCCCAACACCTTGTGGATAGAGCCTCAAATCACTGTGCCTTGTTTCCCTGCTCTGAATTGGTTCTTGCCCTTCTATATGTCTGCATCTTGGTCTTAGTACCTTAACTGGCACCTCAGGACTGAAGTTTAAGTCCCTTGAGAGAACAATTGCATTACTATCCGTTTGTTGCATCATTGTGCCCCCAGGACATAGCTCTGCTCTTGGGGGAACCCCTCTCAGGCATGGGGTCCCCTTAACCTTGCCTCTGTGCTTGGGCCTATTACTTCCTGATATACTTCCCTGCTACCAACTGCCTGGGTCCCCATCACTGGGCCTCAGCCACCATTTGGGACATTCTAACCTCCCAGGGACTATTCTTGCTGATTTGCCTGTTCCTAGAAGTACTGCCGGTCCCTTTTGTTCATTCCACATAGGTTTATTGAAGTCCTGAAAAGGAATCCACCACTCCACCGTCTGCATTCTCAGAATCTGTAACTGAGGGAGGGCAAATGGACTCAGCCTCAGAGGTAGCCCCCTCAGATACTCATGTTGCTTGGTGTTACCGCTGCCACCACCACCACCCTGGCTCCAGGCAGGGGACACTGGGTTCCCTATACTCTTCTGGCCTAAGGGCAGAGCCACAAATTCCATAATACCCCTTGCCTGGCTGAGACCAGATTGGAGCCTCCAAATACCACGTTTCTCCAGGCTCAGAGTTGGCATAGGGAAGGGAAGACAGTCCCTAGGATGGAAGAACCTTGCCTGTGGCCCTCTCCAGTTATCCTCTGAGCCCAGTTCCTAGCCTGCTGTGCAGTGGCAGAGCCCACCCATTCTCCCACCCTGGAAGGGAGCTCCCCAAGCATCCTGAGCATGCCTCCACTTCCCCAAATCTAGACCCCGGAAAGTAAGGCCTAGGGATTTGCTCTCCTGTCAAGACCCACGGCTTCTCCAGATGGTTGATGTGTATGCCACTGTCCCCCAAACCCGCTAAGAGAAGAGACAGACCCTACCCAAAGGTCTCAGCAGGACAGATACATCCGAATACACCCCAGTAAGCTTAACATTGTTACCAGAGAGACCTACTCAGAGTTGTGGGGAGGGGGCCTACCTGGTGTACAAATGTAAAGAGAACATCTGTGCCCTTGAGGACCTTCTAGCAAGAAGCACTTGGTCTGGTGGTGACTCTGCTTTGGCATTTATTTATAGCTGGGTCTATATGTTCCCAGTGGATAAGCCTCATTCCGTGGTCTCATCCTCTCAACTCTTCTGCTCAGACACAGTTTACACCACAATTTGCCCAGTTGAGTCCCAGGATTCTCAGTGAGCTCTGCTTAAATGATGTGGTGGACAGCTGCTGTGCTTTTGGCTGCCTGTAATCTTTCGAATGGCACATGTCGACAGTGGCAGGCATCATTCATCAGGGGAAGATGTGGTTCCTCGCACAGGAAGCCAGACCTTTGACGTTGGTCTTGGCAGGAAAGAAAATCTCTCATTTCTTACATATGCTCAGAAATAGGCATGTGACCTAGGCTGTGCCACTGAGACTTGTCCTTGGGAGACATGGGTTCAGTAAGAGGCAAGGGAAACAACACATTGGCTCTTAGTGGAGGTTCTACTTTGCTGGTGCAGGAAGGTGGTGGCTGCCAGGCGGAGCTCCTGGCAGAGAAGAAGCATCAGTGCTCATGGCAGTGGCAGCCAAGTTCCTGGCTTCAAGAGTGTGGTGGCCACAGCAATGGTGGTTTTCTCCCAGTTCTTCAGTGTGTTTGTAAGTGTTGTTCCTGGAACAACAGGGGCTGTCATTTGCAACTAAGAACGGTGACTGGGGCAGATAAGATCATGAGAATCTCATGGCTCTGGGATAAATGAGAGCTATAAACTGGGTTATAGCACATGGTGCACGTGGGCTCTGGCTAGAATATCAGTTGTGCCACTCTGTGTG